AAAAATTCCAATAACGATAGTAAAGTTTGAATCCAAGACTAGGTAAATGCCATTTCTAAGCCGACCCAAAATGAGATTAAACAATAACTGAGTAAAATAGTTGATGAAATAGTCTGAATTCCAACATATCCAAAATAGCAGAAGTGGATCTTAAAGACCTTAAACTAATGAATTATCAAACTGGAAGAAGGAAAAGTGAAGTACGGATCAAAGAATGTACTCTATGTTTCATTTTTTTCCACTTTTATAATGCCAAGCAAATGGAAGTGGGAAGTAGTCATTGATTAGAAAGACATGAAACATAGGAGAATATCAAATCATAACACTAATGAACTCACCAATAAAAGCATTGACTTTGGGAAGGCTCTATCAAGTGCTTGAGTCACAAGTTGATGTTGTTGAATAGGACTATATTTTTGTGAAGCCACCCTAACTGCTTCTACTAAGCTTTCATACCCACTCTTATTGTTTTTGAGTCCTGCATATATAGGATTAAAATGAAGAAGAAAAATGAAAAAATCCAAAACTCCTTCAAATGAATTAACAAGGAATGAACGTGAACCTGTTGCCTCTTGAACGCATTTTGATAAGTGGTTTATGGCTATGTGATCGAACAAGCTATCTTTGTACACATTAGTTTTTCTTCTTTCTCCTGAAATTTCAATTGCAGGCCTCGAGAGAACTCCAATAACAAAAGGGTGTCTTGGTTTCCAATGAGTTAAAGTTAGGGATGGACTTGTGCACTGTGCAACCAATTTTGCATCCATTTGTGAGTATTAAGAGTTTTGTGTGAGAAACAACTAAGGAATGGAGGGATGAGATGAGAGGGCTTAGACAAAGAAAAAATATATAGTGCATGAAAAAGCATCTTCACACAAAGTTTAAGCTCCAATATATTTAAAGGGTTAAGCTCTTATTCGGGAATAGTTATGGAGTGTGTTGAATGCTTTATTTTGTAGGCTTTAATAGGTTTAGTGAAAGGTGCTATAGATAATTTCTTAAACATATTGTTTGAAATATTTTCAAAAGAATTACTTAATATGTTTGGAAGAATGGAATATGAAAGAACTTCATTTTATATACTTGTTTATTTTTCTTTATATTTTTTTACCAAACTACTTATAAAATCATTTTACTTTGGTTTCTTTTACTCTCTTTTTTATCCTCAACCAAATACATCATTAAATTCTAAATAAATTTTCCCAAAAGAAGTTTCTTGTTGGACTATGCCTTACTTCTCTCAAGATGATGTAATGTATAATAGCACTACAATAAAATAAACTTTTAGTGACATTTAATACGACTTTTAGTGGCAATAAAAATTGTTACAAATCTTTTACTGACATTTTCACATTAGTCATTGTATGCAGTGTCGCTAAAATATTTAACGATCATTATTCTATATGCTGGTAAAGAGCCTTATAATAGTCGGCAAAAATGTAAAAAAATTTGTGACATTTTTTATTAGCATTTATTATTTTTTGCTATTGTCACTAAAAGTTTAAGAAATAATTCATAATACTCTTTTATTATCTTATTTTTAGTCGATGTGAGACTTGTAAGATGAAGGTTGTCTTCTACTTATATATTCTTTAATTTTATTATTTTTTTAATTAGCACTATTGAGTTTAGTAATGGTGAGTAATCTAGTATTAACTTATAATAGTGAGTTAGAAGTTTAACTTAACCTTACAAAATAAACTTGTTAGGTGAGAGTTATCATTCAATATACTCTTTAATTATCTTATTTCTAATCAATGTGGGACTTAAATTTTTTTTCAATAAATAATTATCGTTAATAACAAATTTTGGTATGATGTGAATATATTTTTTAGTGACTATTATATATTAGTCATTAATATTTTATTAAATAATAAAATAGAAGCTATTAATTTATTGTCGTTAATAATTATTGGTAATAATAAGTTTTATTGTAGCGTAGTTACACAATTCTATTATTATTTCTATCAAGATTTCCCTTTAGTTTGAAATGAAATAATTGTATAGGTTACGTGAATGTAGTTTCTTAGTATCGTTTTAAGTATTTGTTAAAACTTGTCTATGCCCATTATAGAATAGGACAACTTTTTCCTTCACTTAAAATTTTGTGTTTTTGTGAATTAAACTCATTTTTTGTGGTGGGTTCATGATCATGAGGAGTGTGATGTCATGTCTGAGGGGCTACATTATGGTTTTAAAAAAAACATTTTTTTAATTAAGAGAATAATTATTTTCTACGGTCCTATAAAAATGAAGTGTCCTTTCAATCACGACTCCAATTAAGTTTTAATTATTAATTAAAAATATAAATATCGGACATTTTAGCTAAGAAGTAATAATACCTGTTGTTAGCAACATGTTTACGTGCCAAATTCCTAATGAAAAAGCATGCAATGCTTGTAATCATTTATCTGTATTCTGGAATTGTGGGAACTGAGTTTGGACGGGTGTACTTGCAAATTGCAATGTGGCATCCTTAGTGACATTACATTGATGAGACTTTTCCACTCACTTCTAGTTTTTGGGTCAAATGCGTTACGTTTTGCCCACTTCCCAAACTTCTTTTCTTTTCAATTTTTAACGGCCCACCTTAAAACCAAGAAAGAAATTCATGGCATAAAAACAATTATGAATTAATTATGTTTTTAATTTTTATAAATGTGATTAACTTGTTTTTCATTAAATGTTTGTGGGAAAAATATTAAATGCATTAACCATATAAAAAAAAAAAAACTGTATATTATCACAACATCTTGGAAGGGTGTAGGCATATATTTTAAATGTGGCATCGTTGGTTCTCTTGCAAAGCCCACAACTTTTTTGGATTTTTTTTTTGTGGGGTGTGTATGTGATAGTGCAAGGGAGAGGAAATAAAGAGAAGAAAAGAAATATGGAGAAAGAGAGAGAGAGAAGCCATGAACACAAGAAACATGTTGCTTCTTATTAGGACCCTCCTTTTCCTCTTTGTTCTCAACTCCTCTGTGGCCTATTCTACCAAATGTGATATTTTGTTGTTCAAAGTCCACCATCATTGTATTCTCGTGACAATGAAGGATGACCCGCAAAAACTCATAAAGACTTAAACTAAATGCAAAGAAGGATTAATTTATAATTTTAAAATTTTATTTCTCGTTAAGTTATTGGTTTAAATCTCAACTTATAGTTATTTTATTATCATATATAGTGGTCAACTTTAATGGTCCACCCACAAACCACATATTCCCATAATTCATTATGAAATCCGCCAATGTGATACTTATATTGAATTTAATTGGAATATATGACATGTAATTTTATATTGTTGTTTAAATACATATTTTTTATATAATTAAAGATGAAGAATTTTATAAAAATTACTTTTAAATTATCTAAAATTTACATCACGGGATATTAAAATTAATCTGTTCATATTTTGTTTATTAGCAAGAGGTCATTTAATGATATATCTTGTCAAATGCGTAATTAAAAATTTGATAATCAGTGAGAAAAGTTATTAGGAAAAAAGAAGTATTTTTTCATCTTTGATTTCAGCGTTTAATAAAGTTATTTAGTTTAGTGGAGGGCGATCACTAAAAGTACAGTTTGAAAGACAATATTTATTTATCAACATGTTGGCAATTCATTTTAGTTAATAGCCATTTTTTCAGTTAGTCAATATTCACCTTTGAAGGACGACATTAATTCTCAACATGTTGATAACATTTTTTAGTTAATATTTTAGTAAGTTAAGACTCACCTTGTAAGTTCAGTGGAAGGGTTTCTGGACTGGGACCTTTCAATGACCCTCCACAAAAAAGGATGAGAAATAGGGAAAGAGAAATTGGAATGAAACCTATTAGAAGAGAAATGTTAACAATAATACACTTTTCTGAATATGTTCTCTCTAATTAAATAATTTTTTAAAAACAATACAAAAGTTAATTAGTACTGTATTTTTTCCTGATTTTATCATTTTCAATAAATTATAACTGATAAAAAAATATATTAACAAAGTGTCTTAAAAGGTTATTATTAAGATCCCTGAGAAAAATTGAATCTCACCATTCGTACTGAATACATGTTTGCGTTCCAATTATAACAGTAAATTTTTACGTTTACTGCTTCTACGTAAAATTAACATTCGACGTGAAGAAAGAATGTATAATCTATGTTTCAAAATGAAATCCAAACATGCACCGAATTTCTCCCAATTCTCATTAAATGAAGTACAAATAAAACACATCAACTGTAGCCCTAAAAAAATCAAGACTTCAAAATTAGTTCTTAAATTAAAAAATCCCTAAAAATCTTCCACTTCTAAAATAATTTTTTTTTAATATACAGTTCAATTTTCTACATATTTTGATAGGCTATGTTCTGAATTGGACACTTGAGTGTATCACCTCACCTATCACACAATGAGTCTTTTATTTTTTGGTACAGACATTACAATTAAATTTAACCTAGTGTACACTCATTTTAAATCAACTTTGCCAAAAAGAATTTTATTGACTAGATTAGATTTCGAGTTTTCTACATTGAGGTCAAAGTTAGGGTAAAGATATAAACACATACCACCCGAAATCAAATTATTACTTGAAATAAAATATAACTAATAATTTAACAAATAATTTATTTAAAATATATAAATAAAATGTTTTCTTCAAAGAAGGTGGAAAAGTTTACCTAAACCCAGTAGAGTCAAATTTTTTTCTTTACCTCTCTTAAACTAATTCTAAAACCTACTCTCCTCTAACACTTTCTAGTATTTTAATAAAAACTTGTGCATGTAATGTGTAAAATTGCGTAGGAAGTGAGAAGTAATCTCGTCTATTTAAAACAATACTTCTTTTTCAATAATTAGGATTATCTATTGCATGTTAGAATTGCGTGGAGTTAAGGACAATCTCACAACATGTTAAAGTATCTACAGTAATTCTTAAGCATTTTAAATAACAATTTGAAAATCAAGTATTTCTCATCTCTCTTGACACACGGAGTAACCAAAACCATAGCAAAGATAAAAACAAAACAAGCAGATATGAAGCGATCAAAAGGCCAACAAAGCCAACAAATCACAAATTGTATCCAAAAGCAAACATTGGCTAGCAATCCAACAGAGTTAAAGCTCTAAGACAGAATGACAGAAAAAACAACTAAAAGAGTTGAGAAAAGCACTGTCTAACAAACCATTTACACACTAACACCTCAGTTCTAAAACTGTTTAAGAAACCCTACTGTGATGAATTGATAATAACTGAGTTTCAGTAAAGTGCAATGTGCAAAGGGGTCATTCATTCCTTGGAGGTTTTGTTGATGAGGGACTTATGAATGTGAGGAATGACACCACCACCAGCAATGGTACCCTTAATAAGGGTGTCCAACTCCTCATCTCCCCTAATAGCCAGCTGCAAATGCCTTGGTGTTATCCTCTTCACCTTCAGATCCTTGCTTGCATTCCCAGCCAGTTCAAGAACCTCTGCTGTCAGATACTCAAGAATTGAAGCCAAATATACTGCAGCAGTGGCCCCAACACGTCCATTTGCCTGGACCCTTTGTTTCAGCTGTCTGTGGATTCGACCCACAGGAAACTAAATTTTAAAAAAACAAAAACAAAATCAGAAACTCTTTATTCTTTTATATAATAAAAACAAATGTCGTACAATATGCAAAATCCTCCAAAAATTGATGAACATAAAACCATATCAACTCACACACAGAACAAATACTTAACTGCAACAGAATCCATATTCCCAAAAACAAAAAAACAAGATATGTGTTTTTATTTTGTCTATCTCCTGACCCTTTTTGTAATTTTGTTGAACAATATTTTTCGAGCACCAAACTAAAAAAAAGATTCTTACTTTACAGTTAAAACTTGCTGGTTAGTGAATTTTGGAACTTCCAATCTATCATGCCCATCACCCAATGTTTCTTAACCCCAGAATAAATTTATAAATAAAATTTAAGAAAAAAAAAAAACAACAACAACAAACAAACAAATAGTGGGAGACATCTCTGAAGATGAGAAATAAACAAAAAGATTAACCTGGTAACATAAGACAGAAAGAGAAAGCAAAAAAACATAGGTGGGTCACCTGGATTCCAGCACGAGAAGAGCGAGAAATAGGTCTCTTCTTGTCCTTGTCTTTGTCCTTGTTAGCAGCTGTGGTTTTCGCTGCAAGAAGCCCCTTCCCTCCCTTTCCGGCCATTGCTTACCTACACATTTCAGTGTTAATGTTTCAGGATTCTGAACATGGAAAGATAAAACAAACCATCGCAAAGAAAAAATTAAATAAAAAAAAAACGATTTTAAAAAGAAAAGAAAGAGCTTGGGAACAACATGCATGGTGGAAAGAAAAAGAAAAAAAAAAAGATTTTTATTGATACAAAATGATCAAAGATAATCGAAAAACAACATGTTGTTTCAGTGACGGAAATAATGGTAGGGGAGAAATACCTGTGGTGGGTGAGAGAGAGAGTGGGTGAAGGCGGAGATAACACGAATCTGTGGATTAGATCGAAGTGATTGCGTATTCATACGAAGTCATTAAATGTGGTAAGCTTTTTGTTTGAACTTTGAATAGCCAATTCTCAAATCAAAAGGCGCGTAAGGTTGTGTGGGAAAACACATTTCACTGTCCATTTCAAATAAAATTCACACTTTTCACTTTTTCCTCGTTGGGCTTCATCGGCCCATCACTCGTTTAATTCAACACTTTTCTGCGGCCCAGTTTATGGATGTGAACTGCAAATTACGTTCTTTTCCTTTACATATCATAATTCTTATCTATCCTCCCTATTTTGTCTCTACTAGCCATAAATGGGAGGAAACGACGCTAGTCACAAATAAATAAATAAAAATACGATAACTAGTAATACATTGAATTAATTCTTAAAATATGAATGTTATTAGGAGAATCATTTTAATTTCTATAATTATCAATGTTAAGAATTAAAATGTTCTATGTTTACTAGTTTTATGAATTAAAATATTAATTTTTTATAATTTTAATAACAAAAATATTCAACTCAATGTCTTAAGCAACTTTTTTCCGTTAAATTTAATTTATTTTTTTATATTGAACTATTTTATTTTGTATTTCTATATTCCATATTTCATTTCTTCCTAAACACAATAATTTGTATTGATTTTATTGAAATTATCAAAACATAAGTTTAAGTGGTTGGGTTTTTGAATTAGGATTAATTAGACTTAGAGAGTTCCGCAATGAATTGGGTTGTATTTCATTCATTTATAAATTTATTGGGAAAAGATATTATTTGTGTTTTTTTTTTCCGCTCTTGTGTTTATCGATAAGAAAGAGAATAAGTCAGGTTTTAAATAGGAATCTATGACATAATTTCTTTAAAATTTGGTTTGTAATTTAATAAAAAAAAAGTTAAGTTTAAATTTAAAAAAAAAACTTATTTATATAAAAAGGTCAAACTTAGACTTATAGACAAGTTTACTAGACATTATAGATCAACCTATTTAACATAATAAAAAAATATATTATTAAAAATATAAATAAACAAATAAATTTATAAAATAAAAATAAATTATAAATATTTAAAATAGTTTTTATACAATTTTTTTATTATAGATTTATAAGTTTACGACCTGTGCATGAGTGTACATTAACATACATGGTTACACATAAATTGTTCTTTCAACGAAAAAATGATTCAAATTTTCTCCTGTATTTTTTAAAAAATTTAAATTTTAATAATATTGAGTAAATTATATTTAAAAAATATTTATTTTTAAATATTAAATTTATTGGCCTAGTTAACATTAATAATTTAAATATATTTTAAAATATGCTAATAAGGCAGGCCAGACTTTTAAAAAAATCTATGATAGATAATACGTAAGATTGAGGTTTTAATTTTGCAAATCAGACCCAATATATATATTCAAAGTCTGGTCTGGTCAGTCCTAACCTATTCCCATCCTTATTTAATGACCAAGTCAAAGGTTATTCTTTTTCCTAACATCCAATGTCATTAATCTTGCGTTCGACATGAATAAGATAAAAGCACCCTAATTTGACCCATGTCCGATGTAATGATGAGTTTTACACTTAGCAGACCTCAATCTCAAACCACCTAAATATAGGAAATTCTAAGCATGCAATGCGATATACCATACATATACCTCATCTACCACTCATCCTACACCAAAATGGCAACATGCAACAACAACTATAATTAATCAACAAAATTCACCTTTATGAACTCAAAACACCGAAGTTAAACACACAACAATCCCCACATCAAAATCATCCATACAATCATGCATTCAACAAACTCAAGGCACATACAACTCGCCAATCTATCAAAGATTGAATTTATAACTTTCCTTACCTTATAGTCGAAGGGGGAAGAATGAAGAAGCGTCTTTGAACTATCATCAAAGCTCTACACCAACACAACCTTGATTCTTAGCTTCCCGGACTTTGAATCAACGATTCAACAATGATCCTCACGCACTTGGGGCCTATAAAGAAGAGAAAAAAAAAATCGAAGTCTCAAAGCTTTTGCTTTTTAGTATCTGTCTAAGATTCCTTAAGAATTGAACTCATAAAACTCAATTTTTAAAAGAAATCATATATACTTTTATCCTCAATATCAAATTAGACCTTTATCGAGAAAACTCTCAAAAACATCTTTAAGACTCAGAACTACACATATAATTATTATCAAAAAGACAATAATTAATAAAAAATTTATAGTGTTAGTATTATAATTTTATCACTAATTGAAATTTATTAAAAATTATAAATTTATTTTCATATTTTATTTTATTTTTACTTCTATTCATTTAAATAATACATCTTTTTATTCTATTTTTTTTAATATTTTTAGATTTACTTTAAAAAAAATTTATATGTTCCTTCTAATCCAAAGACAGATAAATAAGAGGTAAAACTAAAAAAAAAATACTATAATTTTCAATAAATTTTAATAAATATACAAAACATTTAAAAGTACAAAGAAGTGAAATGTGTTTAATGTTTTAGATACGTGGTTAATAAACGTGTAACATAACTAATACCGTAGTTGTACTCTCTAGGCTCGAAGACGGTTAATGTGTTTTGGTTACATGAACCACCTTTTTACTTATGTACTCAAAATTCAGAGGTTGTGCAAATAGGATATACACCAATTAAAGAAAAACAAAAACTCAATATTTTAGTAATATTTAGAGTAACTAGACTAATAGATAAATGTTATTTTTACATAATCTGAAGTTTCAATACACCGAAACATATGTATATAATTTCCTTTTAAGGTTAAGAGGTAAACAAAATTACAATTTTAAATATTTTGAACATAGATAACAGTTAAATTTGTTAAATGGTTAGATCTCTAATTTGGTTCTTGATAACATTTTTTTGTTTCAATTTATTCCTATTTTAATTTTTTGTCTCAATTTGGTCCCTAATAATTTAAATTATTGCAATTTGGGACTTCTGTCCAAATGATTTAAACGGAGTTAATTGTTGGCCACATGGATGCCACGTAGATGCGTACGTGGACGCCAAATTTTTTGAAAAAACCTGAGACCAGAACGGCCCGTTCTGGATGCACTCTTGGTGTGTTAATTTTGCATCCGGAACGACCCGTTCCAGGTGCAAAATTAACATACTAAGAGTGCAACAAAAACGGACCGTTCTGGTTCCAGAATACCAAACACGAATGGTCACTGATTATAGTTTACGATTGTGAATCGTGAAAGAAAAAAGACCCAAGGTACAAAGCATTTCAAACAATGGATTTGGTAATATTATCAATGAAAATTGATAACTTCAATTGCTAAACAGTTGGGCTGTACAGTGTATCATTAAGGACAATGTAGTGTATCACTAAAGACAATGGTAGTAGATTTTATTTCATTATTAGTCAAACTGGAGTGAACCACTTATTACCAAATTGATACTATACAGTCAAGGATAAAACAAAACGGTGTTTTCCCTTAAAGTCATTGACGATTTACCCCAACAATAACAATATGTTCTTGAGGAGGTACAACCTGAATTTTTGTGGTTTAGGGTTTCCCTTCAGCGTTACCTAGATGATTTCCTTTCTTAGTAATTTCGTTAAACTTTTTTAGTATATGTTATGTTCTGAATTTTTGTTTTCAGTTTCTGAACCATGTTTCTGATTTTGAATTTATGATATGTTATGAATTTTTATTTTCAATTTTTGAATCACATTGCGGCATTTTGGTCAATGCATGCATGAAGTTGGCTTTCTGGAACGAGCCGTTCTAAAACCAGAACGGCCCGTTCTGGTTTCAGAACGGCCCGTTCTGGTTTCAGAACGGCCCGTTCTGATGCACTCATGGTGTGTGAAATTTGCATTTGGAACAGTCCGTTCCGGTTGCAAAATTAACACATACCACGTGCAAGCAGAACGGTCTGTTCTGGTTCAGGTGTATTCATGCACTTTGGCGTCCACCTATGCATCTACGTGGCATCCACGTGACCAACAGTTAACTCCGTTTAAATCATTTGGACGGAAGTCCCAAATTGCAATAATTTAAATTATTGGGGACCAAATTGAGACAAAAAATTAAAGTGAGACTAAATTGCAACAAAAAAAAATGTTATCAGGGACCAAATAAGGGTTTTAACCTTGTTAATTTTATCCACATATTTTCCATACGATAATAGTAATTAGATCTTTTCTTAATTTTACATTTTATGTACACGTAATGTGTAATGTTAATATTAAATCAGGTTAACTGAGACTTTTTTTTTAATATATCATTTTTTTTATTTCTCTAAATAGCCTCACCCCCATTTTATTTATCAAAATGACCCACTTACTATTTAAGGTAAGAAATCGATTGGGGGGAACCAATTTCTCACCCTCTCTTCTTATACAATATATAGATCATGTATGAGAAATCGGTTGTTAAGAAACCGATTTCTCAACAGGCTTACTTATTTTTATTTATTTTTTCGTTTTCGTTTTTTGTTTTTCATTTTTTTTTTGATTTTTTTTAGATTTCTAATTTTCTTATTTTTTCGTATTTTAATTTTAAATTTTTAGTTTTTTAAATTTTTTTAGTATTTTTAAATAAAATAATTTAGTTAAGTTTTTATAATAAAAATAAATAATGAAATAATTATTAATTAAATAAATAATGAAATAAATATTAATTACTTTTTTTTTTATTTTTTTTCCAGATTTGTTATTTATTTTGTTTTTCAGTTTATAAAATTTAGATTTTAAAAAAAATTATAATGAAATTTTAAAAAAATTATTTACCTTTTTTTTTTGTTTTTTATTTTATTGACTTTTTTTTGTGTTTGTTTTTCATATTTGTTAATTTTTTTCTTTTTCAGTTTTTAATATTCAAATTTTTTTAAAAAATTATAATGAAATTTTAAAAAAATTATTTACCTTTTTTTTTTGTTTTTTATTTTATTGACTTTTTTTTGTGTTTGTTTTTCATATTTGTTAATTTTTTTCTTTTTCAGTTTTTAATATTCAAATTTTTTTAAAAAATTATAATGAATTTAAAAAAAAACATTGATGACTCTACACAAAGCATTGATTTTTCTGACGCTCTGGGACAAAGCATTGATGACTCTGCATAAATCA